TGTATGTATGCATGTATTATGTATGTATGCATGTATACACATGCTTAGGTTTTATGTTTCCTATTTTACTCAGGAAAATAATTCAGAGAAGAAGAATAGTTCGTCCAATGAACTGGTGATACTGTTTGTTTTCGAATTTTTTAAAAAGAATATTTTTATTTGTGGGTGCGTGGCTCTGTGTCTCCATGTCTGCATGGTACCTCGTGTGTGCAGACGCCCTCAGAGGCCCCCAGGGCCTTGTGTCTCCTGGAACTGGCCCTAACGGTGGTTATGAGTGCCCCAGGGACTGAACCTTGGCCCTTGGCAGGAGCAGCTCTGCGAAGATGTGTTGCTGTGACTGGCGTAACAAAAAACGGAGTGGCCTGGGCTGGAGATGGCCCAGCGGTTAAGAGCACCGGCTGCTCCTCCAGAAGCCCTGGGCTCAATTCCCAGCACCCACATGGTGGCTCACGACCATCTGCAACTCCAGGTCCAGGGAATGTGGCACCCTTACATAGACATGCAGGCAAAAACAAAACAAAACTTACAAACAGCAACAAAAACCCAACGCACATAAAATAAAAATAAATCTTTAAAAAAAAGAGCCAGGTGGTGGTGGAGGTGCACACCTTTAATCCCAGCACTCGGGAGGCAGAGGCAGGCGGCTCTTTGTGAGTTCGAAACCAGCCTAGTCTACAAGAGCTAGTTCCAGGACAACCTCCAGAGCCACAGAGAAACCCTATCTCAACCACACCCCCCCCCCAAAAAAAACCCCAAAACCAAAACAAAACAAAAAACCCCACCGAACAAAACCAAACCAAAAACCCCAACCAAATGGCCAGGAGGTAGGCAGGAGGTATCCTCGGGACCTCCGGCAGAGAGAGAACTAGGAAACAGAAAGGTCGAATTGCCGGCTAGCTTACTCCTCTATTCTCCAGATCACAAATTACAGAAATAAGAACATAGCTTTGTAGTCCCGGATGCTTGGAGGCCAGAGCCAGTTAGTCACAAGTTCAAGGCCAGACTGGGCATCTCAGTGAGATCTTGTCTCGAAGTAAAAAGTAAAACGAAGGCTTAGGAATAATGCAGGTCAACTACAGAGAGCTTGCCTCCCCTGTGCGAGGCTCTAGGTTGGAGCAACAGTGGTCCCTGAACTATGTTAGTCACCCTGGAAATAGACCGGTTGAAACGATCGGCTGTCAGTGTTAATTGGAAAAAAAATTTTATTATCATTATTTCAGATGCTGCACATTTTCAGGTCCAGAATTCTGCTCGTTTCTTTTTGATGTTGTCTGTTTCTCTCCTACGACTACCTCTCTATTGTTTTATATTCCTTTGCTGATTCCGCGAGTTGGATACATGTCTCTTTTCTGTTGACACCCCCCCCTTCCGTGATTAGGGGTCACTGTTTTGCTTTCTCCCTTTGCCTGTGTAGCAGACGCTCTACCCTGTTGAGGTGGGCGTGACGCGGCAGGCGTGAGAAGTCTGGATTACACCCGTGCTGATTTCTGTTTCTGAGGCTGGTCCTAACCAGCACGGTTTTGCCGGTCTCCGTGCACCGCAGCTGTGGGGCGGTTATTTCCATTCTGAACTCAGACCAAGGGCCTGGCCGACTCTAGACAGATCTTATCACCAGCGCGCGGCCTTCCTGGCATGGCTACGGAGTGGCTGAGGCAGTCAGGAAGAACTGTTTGCTCCATCCGGGCAGAGCCCTGGTGTCTCCCAGTCCTGCTGAGCTCAGACTCACTCCGCTCTGGTACTCTGGCACTCAGCCCGGCCCCTGGACGGGGAAGGCTTTGGCAAACTGTCCCGGGGCCTGGCCTCTGTGGCCGTGACCCACAAGTTCCAGGCGTTTCTCCCACAAAGCGTGGGGCATCTCTTTTCCCCGGGTGGGGTAGGTGTATTTCTACTTGGGCAGGAAGCCGGGTGAGTCCTGAGCCACCCCTGTGTCCCCTGCCCTCAGGGCTCACGGGCCTGCAGAGCCTGCCTGCGGTCAGAGCCCGGGGGCAGCTGCTTCCTGGGCTGTCCAACCTGGTGGCTGTACAGTGGAGGGCAAGGCCAGCAGACCGGTGTGAATTAACTACTCTGTCGTGACAGAGGCCAGAAGTCTGTGAGCTGTGTTTGTGAACTGTTTTCCTCACAGATAATAGTTAGTAAAGCATTTCACTGTTTTTTTGTTTTTCGTTGGTTTTTTTTGTTTGTTTGTTTGTTGGTTTTTTTTCTGACCCAACTGTAATATTAATGACAGAGTTTTCAAAGCAAAAGGAAACACTAATTTTTGGACTGTTTGCTCAGTCACCAACTTCTGGTGGCTTCTGATGTGGCCCGCATGTCTGAACCTCCTCAGCTTGGGCTTTTGTTCCCTGAGTTACAGATGTGGTTGGTGAAAAGTAGTCCTGCATGCTAGTGGGGGGTCTGCGTGTCACACAGGTTGTCACTGGTGACTGTCAGTGCTCCCTGCCGACAGTGGTCGTCTGTGAATGGTTGTCCATGCAATTGTTCTCACTTTTGTTCTCTGTTTCTTTTTAATCATCTATTTAGGATTAGAGTATGATGTTCTCATTTCATTTATTCATTCATTGAGAGAGAGAGAGAGAGAGAGAGAGAGAGAGAGAGAGAGAGAGAGAGTGTGTGTGTGTGTGTGTGTGTGTGTGTAGGCATTGGGGGCCATGTCTGTTTGACATCTTACTTGAACTATTGGAATTAGGTATCAAGGCTGGCTGTGCCTTTAATGCCTTTAACCCCAGCATTTGGGAGGCAGAGGCAGGTGGATCTCTGTGAGTTCCAGGCCAGTCTGGTTTACAGAGTGAGTTCCAGGACCGCCAGTACTACATAGAGAAACCCCGTCTCAAAGTAACAGTCAAAACAAGATAAAGTAAATTAGGTATTAAATACCCAATTCTTTAAAAATATGCTGTGTATTTTCAGCCTTCAGGATTGACACATGTTTGAATGTAAACACAGGTGCTCAAAGTGTTTTCAGGTAGCAGCAGTGGTCAGTCACCGAGTTCTGTTTCTTTCCTTGGCATCTGTGTGCACTCTCGATAGTATGTAGGGTGTGTTGTCATGTCCTTTTTCTTCTTTTTCACTGTAGAGACTCGCGTGCGTGCGTGCGCGTCGTGTGTGTGTGTGTGTGTGTGAGTGTGTGTGTGAGTGTGTGTGAGTGTGTGTGTGAGTGTGTGTGTGTATTTTCCTTTTAGAAATGGGAAAGTAAGGGGCTTGAAGACTGTGCTTTAGCCTAGGTGGGAGAATGTGTTAGGTAGAAAATGGTGTAATATGTCTCTTTTTATTACATTTTCCTTTCTTGCCTTGAAGGTAGATTTCCCTCATCTATCCTAATTACGGTTTCCTCCCCCTACACCTCCCAGCTCCTTCCAGCCCCCCTCCCGTTAGTATCTGCCCTCCTTCTCTCACTAGAAAACAAACAGGCTCCTGAGGGCTGACAGTGAAATAATAAAAACAAAGAGGGACACATTGGAACGGGGCAGCACAAATAAATAGAAGGAGCTCAAGAAAGGACAACAGACACAGACACAGGGACCCGTGGGTTCACACACTCGGGTATTCCGTAGAAACACCACCAGATGCCGTAATAATGCAGGCAGAGGACCCGAGGGCTACAAAGTGAAGAACGAATGGATAAAGAAACAAATAATAAAAATAAACCCAGCATGACATTGTGAGGCAAATGTCGCACCAGCAAAGATGGCGTTCGTTCCTTGTCTGTTGGCCATCTCTTGCTGGGCACGCTGCCTACTCCTAAGAAGTTTGCTTCCCCAGTGAGACTCCCTTGGGGGAAAAGTAGATTTGCAAGTGGTTATCAATTAATTGGGGATTGCTTCTGGGTTAGATATTGGGGGGCATGTGTTCACTCCTCCTTTCAGCTCTAGGGCCCACGCAGGCCCTGGGCTCCCACATATTCTTAAGAGTGACGTTTTTGCTACTTTTCTGAGACTGTCATGCATGCACTGTATGTTTATCATAGTCACCCCTCCCTGCTCTCCCGCTGACTCCTCCCAGATCCATTTCTGTCCTCTCCCAACTTCACACCCTCTGCTTTGTTTGATTACGGTCCGCCGGTGCCCATTTGTGCTGCCCGCATTCCCATCGGAATGGTGCCACCCACAAGGGTGTGTTTTTTTTTTTTCCTCTTTCTTGCCTTCATAGCCGGTGCCTTATGATGTAGTCCAGGCTGGCCCTGAAGTTTCTGCGCTCCTCCTGCCTCTGCCTTCCCGCTGTGGGGATTACAGGCAGGTGTCCCCCTGCCGGGTTACCGTGAGACTGGTGACTTGTGTCCACGTGGGGTTCCCTGTGGTTTGGCGGCTTTGGCTTGTACCAGGCTCTCCTTGGCGTTTATGTAACCGCCAGCCGGTCCATTGTTGCTCTGAATCCCACCACTGCGTATGTGCGACAGCTGGGTAGCTTGGTTTTGTGGGACCCCTAACAGTGGGAGCAGGGGCTGCCTCTGCCTCTTTGCTGGCTTTTGGGACTCTGCTCCTCATTCTGGGTTGCTTTGCCCAGCCTTCGTACGGGGCATCGTTAGTCTTACTGGAACTCCATAGGGCCATGTTTTGTTGACATCCACAGGAGGCCTGCCCCTTTCTGAAGAGAAACAGAGGAGGAGTGGATGGGTGGGGGGCAGAGGGGAGGGAGGGGAGGAGGAGGGAGGGGAGAAGGAGGGAGGGGAGAGAGGAGAGAGGGCAGGGAGGAGGGAGGGGAGAAGGAGGGAGGGAAGAGAGGAGGGAGGAGAAATTGGGGCCAGGATGTAAAATGAATATTATTTAAGTAAAACCTTTGAAGATTAAGATAAGGTGAGCTGGGACTTCCTCCTGCTTCCCCCACCCCCTGTGGCTGTCCTTTGAAGACACAGCTGTCAGTGCCCGGCATTAGGACTGTCATCACGCGCCCCCCTGGCCCTTATGTCGCACGGAAACCCCTCGGAAGCACATTTCTCTTGTTTGCTACGCTGGGTCAGAGTTATCATTGCAGGACACAACTCTCCCTCCCTGCGTTCATTCCAGGCACTTCGCTTAAGTAACACAGCCATGGGGAAGACAACCACGGGCCAGATCGTCAACCTGCTGTCCAACGATGTCAACAAATTTGATCAAGTAGGTCCCGCCCCTCTCGGGTCCCTGCCCTAGCCTACCCCTCTTCCCCCTGTTGGAAGGCGAGGGTTTCGGTGTAGACCGGGATCCTGTTGCGGATGCAGCAGGCACGTCCAAGCTGCGCCTCACCTCTGCGTGCGGCAGAGGTGTCGTGAGATGTGTTTATGGGGTGGAGCCCAGTTTTGTTTTTTTCTGTGTGATGTGGCCAGCAGCACACTTATATCAGAGAGAGTAGTCCTCCCCAACTCGGCCAATGCGGTGATAGCCCTGAGTGGCTGTCCTCCCCTATCCCTCCCCTGCCCGCCCCTCCCCGCTCCTTAACCTTTAACACACGGCAGTGGTGCGGGCAGCGAATTACCCTTCTCCTTCTCTAGAGGACCAAGTCTTAGAGGGCAGGAGTTTCCAGCACAGCCCCGTGTGGTGCCTGGCACATAGGGACACTCTGATAAGCCATGCCACATGGGCGATACTAACTAGAAACTGCAACTCTCTCATCCCACACCCATCTTTTTTTTACATTAACCTTACATATTGATCACAATGTCTGGAACATTCTTGCTTGACCTGTGATACACTGCAGCCATTTTCATTCATCTAACATAAACTTCACCCAGAGGTGAGGATAAGCAACTCGCTTCTGTCTTAAGGACTCGGTCCTCCTGTTCCGAGGCGCAGCTATGACTGCAGGATGTGGTAGGCACCATCTCCCAGGCTTTTCCGAGGTGCTGAGGAGATCCAGGGGGCAGAGACCGTGGCGGGGAGTGCTGCTCTCACGCATGACGGGGGGGGGGGGTCACCGGGGTCGTCCCCGGGATGGTACAGTCCAAGCCGCCCTATGTCAGGCTCTCCGTCTCCTGTCTGTTGGGCCGGCGTAGCTTCTTCTGCCGAGGGCCCTTGCCGTTCAGCAGGTTGAGACCCAGTGTGACTGCTTCTGTGTGGATCCTCGTCTCCTGCCAGTTCTTAGAGCACCACGTTCCTGACATGCGTTCTTGCCAGTTTTGTTTTATTCACCGTGTGTCGGCTTCCTATCCACAGGTGACGATCTTCTTGCACTTTCTGTGGGCGGGGCCCCTGCAGGCCATTGCGGTGACCATCCTGCTCTGGGTGGAGATAGGCATCTCCTGCCTGGCCGGCATGGCTGTCCTGGTTATCCTTCTGCCTCTGCAAAGCTGTATCGGGAAGCTCTTCTCGTCACTGCGGTAAGAGGAATCCCAGACCGAGAATGTGTCCCGTCTGGTAACGCACCCGCCCGAGTCTGCTACCCAGATGCAAAACAAACACTTGTTAGCTCTTTCTGTTCTACTTATGTTGCGGGCTCTTCAGGCGTAGCCAGGGAGTAACCCAGCCATAAGCCAAAGGCTGGTCTTGAAAGAGGGAAAGGTGAGGGCTTTTCAGTATAACTGCTTAAAGAGCATCCTAACTGTAAGTGACATGTGTGACCTTAAACATTAAGTAACGGTAACTCCAGTTATCTTATTTTTGTATATCTTGTTACATCTATCTATCCGTCTATCATCAATCAGTCATCATTCTCTCTCATTACCTATATCTATCTTTGTATCATTTATCTATCATCTGTCTGTCTGTCTATCTTTCTATCATCTATCTTTGTATCATTTATCACCTGTCTATCTATGTATCCATCTATGTATCTATCTATGTATCTATGTATCTATCTATCTATCTATCTATCTATCTATCTATCTATCTATCTATCTATGTATCTATCTATCTATCTATCTATCTACGTATCTATCTATGTATCTATCTATGTATCTATGTATCTATGTATCTATGTATCTATGTATCTATCTATGTATCTATCTATCTATCTATCTACGTATCTATCTATGTATCTATCTATGTATCTATGTATCTATGTATCTATGTATCTATGTATCTATCTATGTATCTATGTATGTATCTATCTATCTATGTATGTATCTATGTATCCATCTATGTATCTATGTATCTATTTAATCTATCTATGTATCTATCTATGTATCTATGTATCTATCTATCTACCTATCTATCTAAACTACCATAGGGAGGATGTTAGTATCCAGCCATCTGTACTGGCCCTGTCCTTGGGGTTCTGACAGGAGCCGCCCTCAGCTGCAGTCACTAAGAGCACCACCTGTGCACATTCACTATGGTCCCTTTTTAAAAAGGCCCCGCTCACTTCCCATATCTCTTTATTTCTCTCCCTCTCTCTATTTCACTCTCTTCTTCTCCCCCCTCTTCCTCCCCCTCTTTCCTCTCTCCTGCCTCCTGCTGCTCCTGTCTCTGGAGGCTGGTCTCCCCCCTCCCCTTTCCCCCTTTTTATGATTCGCCCGTCTCGTAGCGTATTTCTCTCGAGAGCCGCTTTTCTTGAATTACGGCAGAGGGTACACATGCGCGTGTATGAAGGTTGGAGGGTAATTGGCAGAAGGGTTTCTCTTCTTCCTCCACGTGGCTCCTGAGAGTAGGACCCACCTGTGTTGTGTTGGTGGGGGGCAGGAGCTGCAGGGACAGCCTTGACCCTGGGTCCCTGTCTGAGCCTGGGGTTGGCTGTGGCTCATCTGTCACATCTGCTCCCCTCAGGAGTAAGACGGCGGCCATCACGGACGCCAGGATCAGGACCATGAATGAAGTCATCACGGGCATGCGGATAATAAAGATGTACGCGTGGGAGACGTCATTTGGTGACCTCATTACCAATCTGAGGAGGTAAGTCTTGGTGTAGATGGCTGGGTTGTGTACCTTTCCATTTCCTGATTTTACTGAGTGGGTTAGAGCTCTCGTTTTTTGCCCCCTTGGTAACTCAGCTCAGTTACGATCATGTGTCATCGTGCGTGTGTGGCAGTAACACTAAGTTTGATGATCCGGGCAAAAGCTACATTTCTCACTCTCTTGTGTGTCTGTGTGTCTGTGTGTCTGTGTGTCCGTCTGTCTGCCTCGGTCTTTCTCACTCTCACTTTGGTTTTGATGGTCCTGGGGACTGAACCCAGGGCCTTTGGGTGTCCTAGGCAAGCATTATACCATATATCACTAAGCCGCATGGCCAGCCTTCCAGTGCACGTCTTCTGATGATAAAAATGGGATTCCAAGTGTTTCTGAGTGCTTCAAGTGACCTATAAGTAGTGATTCCACGATAGAGGAACTCGAGAAGATCACACTTAAAATAAAGCTCCACTTGAGGTCAGCGCAGTGGGAGGGTGACAGAGAGCGTTACCAGCCCCTGACTCGGACGATGGGCGTTATTCCTCCCAGTGGATGTTATGGGAACGCCGTCCTTTTCATTTTGTTTCTAACATTTGTTTGTTCCTGCACTCTGGCACAGGACTTCATAAGCTCTTGTAGCAAGCGCTGGACCCCTGAGACTTCCATAGCTAAAATGTAGAAACCTTTTCTGTCCCTTGTCTGTGGATTCCACCAAGCATGCCACCTCCCACTACTCTTCCCTTCCCCAAGCCCCATGAAGCTTGTGCCAGCCATTTCTGTCTGGAGTTTTGGATAAATCTCACAGTTCTAGGGGTGCAGTTCCCTCCCGAGCTCATGGAGGAGAAAGGCTGTGTCTCACCCATCCTCTGTGGTCACCTGTAAGGTACCTGGCCCAGGACGTACCTTTGGGTATGCTAGTTGAATGCATCTGTTTGGGTCCTTGATAAAAATCAACTCAAAGTGACCCAAACTGTTACCCTACACCTCTAGCAGTGTTTGTAAAGTGGCTTAGTGTCCCCTGTGGTTCTAATGAAACTTCCCCCCAGAGTATGTGCCAGCTACTTCTTCTGCAATGTCCCAAGTCATTTAAAAATTGTTTATTACAACTGGGCGTTGGTGGCGCACGCCTTTAATCCTAGCACTCAGGAGGCAGAGGCAGGCGGATCCCTGTGAGTTTGAGGCCAGCCTGGTCTACAGAGCCAGTTCTAGGATAGGCTCCAAAGCAATACAGAGAAAACCTGTCTGGAAAAACCAAAAAAAAAAAAAAAAAAAGAATTGTTTGTTACACGTGCATGTTTTCATGTGTGTAGGTATGTATGCACAGGTGTTTACATGCATGTGGAGGCCAGAGGTCCCCCACGGGTACTGTTCCTCAGGAGCCCACCCACCTACTTTTTGAGGCAAGATTTCTCACTGGGGACTGAGGTCCAGTGACCCGGCCTGGCCGGTACCAGTGAGTCACAGGGGCCTGTCTTTGTCTCCCCGGTGTTGGAGGAGCAGGATAACATTTGGGTCACTTCCAGTAGATTCTATAAAGACCTCAAGTCCGTTCCTACTAACGTGCCTAACGGTAAGTCCTGGGCTGAGCACCTTGCATACGGGTGACAGGAGAGTGAGGGAGACACAGCCTGTCCCCTCCGAGCTCATGCCGGAGAAGAGAATAGCTCCCCTGAAACTGTGGGTTCCCGCTTAGGCAGAAAGAGCCGGCCAGAGCTTCACGGGGCGTGGAGCGGCGTAGACTCCGGCGTGCCCGACCGCACCTGGCTGTTTGTGTGGATGCTATGACCAAGCTCAGGTTCTCATGCTTACAGCGGCTCTTTGTAGACCCAGCCATCCCTCCTGCGCCCACAGTTAACCCTAACACGCCTGTGCCTGCCCAGCAAGGGGCCTCACGCGTGTGACCTCGACGTTGGCGTTTGTATGCGAAAACCCATGTATTTCCTCTTTTCTAGGAAGGAAATTTCCAAGATTCTGGGCAGCTCCTACCTCAGAGGGATGAACATGGCATCCTTTTTCATCGCAAACAAAGTCATCCTGTTCGTGACCTTCACAACTTACGTGTTGCTGGGCAATCGGATTACAGCCAGCCACGTGTTTGTGGCGATGACTCTGTATGGCGCTGTTCGGTTGACGGTCACCCTCTTCTTCCCCTCAGCCATTGAGAAAGTGTCAGAGACGGTCATCAGCATTCGGAGGATCAAGGTTTGTGTGAAAGTACAGCTGTCTTTTTTGACAAGTGATGGTGATTTCTTTTACTTAGCGTTGCCTTGTTCCCCGGCATCATTTAGTCCTGTGAACACCAAACTGTCAGTCAGTCCAAAATGATGTGTAATGTCCTATTTTGTCGATACAGTATGCTAAGTCAGCGGGATTCCAGATTGCTTATGGGCGCAGTGTAAATAACCCTGTCACAGGGCTGTTGATGGGTGAACGGAGGTGGCTGCAGGAGCAAAGGGAATTGTGTCAAAGTAGGAAAAACACGACAAGTTCATCCTCCAGACCAGTGGTTCTCAACCTTCCTATGCGTCACCCCTTACTACAGTTCCTGCCTCAGAGGGGTGAGGTACCTCATGTTGTGGTGACCGCCTCTCCCCCACCATAGCATTATTCTGCCGCTTCTCGGCTCTAACTTTGTTTCTGTTACGAATCGTCATGTAAGTATTTGACATGCAGATGGCCTTAGGTGACCCCTGCGACAAGGTCTCTGGACTCCCGAGGGGGGTCACTGCCCACAGGTTGAGAAACGCTGCTCTAGACTCAGTGTTTTGAGTTGAGTGCAGTTTCTGAGCAGGCTGGAAGACCTGTGCTCCTCAGAGAGAGGCAGTGGCCTGAGCCAAAAGGAAACGTTGTCTGAAACCGGTTCCTTCCTTCTCAGCCGCTCTGCTTGGTCCTTCTTTCTGACTCCGCCTTTCCCCTCTGACGCCTCCTCTTCCCGTTTTCTTCCTCTTCTAGAGTCTTTTCTCTTGCTGTCTTTTCCCCTCGGCCAGTCTGCTGATTTCTACCACACCTACCTTTGCTTTTCCTGACTACTCCTAAGCTGCTCGGGCTGATCATTCGTGTCACCTTGACGCTGGCCTGGAACGTGTGAGGGCGCTAAGTGTTGGTGTGACGGTGAATGTGTCCCCGAGGACGGGTAGGCTCTGTCAGAAGCCTGGCGTGACTCTGTTTCAGTTTTTGGTTCTCAGTAGCGTTGCTCTGTCCAGAAACAGATGCTTCTGCTGAACTTAGTGATCTTGGGGACCATAGCGGAGGGGGAGAGGCTTGCCATAAAAGCCAGGATATTGAGGTTTCTGGTTTGTTTTCCAAAGTATTTCCTGCAGTCCTTGGGCCCAAATTGTGCAACTGTGTCCCTCCCCGAGAGTTCAAGGGGCATTGAGAGGAGGGGGGGGCAGGAAGACTTGAGAGCCGGGAGATGTGTGAGAAACCGCTGTCTTCTGGACTCACGAAGCTGTGGTGCTCAGTTCACTGCAGATCTGCCTCTCTGCACAGGACCCGGGAGAGGCCGAGCCTGTCAACATTTTACCGTGGTTGGAAGAGTGACCCATGAGGCCCAGCCTTCCCTTGTGGAAGGTGTGTCATCTTCCTCAGCAGTGGGGCCGATGACATTTTTATCCTTGCTCCAGCAAATAATTCCTCACCCACATTCTGCCAAGAATCGCGAAGTGGGTTCTCGGTATGAACGTTGCAGGGGGCTTATGGAGAGCATGGGTTCCAGTGAGGAGAGGGAGAGTGGGAAGGGGGTAAGGGGAAAATGACTAAAATTCATTATTTAAATATGCAGCTGTTAAACACTATACGAAAGCGTTGCACGTAGAAGAGCTCTATTATGTGGGCATCAAGATTCACTAGACTCCCTACAGGTTAAGTGAAGTTTATTCAGGGAGAATGCATTTACACAAGAGGTGGGTGGCTGCTGAAGGTTCCAGCTCCAAGGATCCTCCCAGGCTGTTTCCTTGTGACCGGATCAGAAGCCAGAGAGAGCTCTAGGGTCCAGGACCGCAGATCTAGTCCTCCCTCAGTCAAGGCCTCACCTGTGACCACGCCCAAGCGGGCGTGGTCAGTGCTACAGGTATGGGCGGGGTGGATATCTCACTACTATTCCCCTTTTAGTCTAAAGAAAAAGATTCAGGCTTGATACAAACTATGTGCAAAGATAGCAAATATCAAGTGTGCCCTAGGAGAAGGAAAAGTAGGAACAGACTCACTGAAGACCTATCGCCAGTGAAGCAATGAGAGCAAATGGCGAGAGAGCTCAGTTATATATGGCTAGTTCTGGACAAACTTGAGTTTGTTATTCCGCTTGACAGTGGCCGAACAGCATTTGTCGAGGTGGTCTGTGCCGCTCAATTGCAGTTTTCTTTTCTTTTCTTTTTTAAACTTGCAAGTCTGGGAAGAAAATATTTGGGGATATATTTTGATGCTAGCCTCATTCTAAGTGTGTGATACAGAACTTTTCCCTACATGGCTTCACACCCATTTTTTTTGTACACTAGGGAACATTGCTTAGGCTATGTAAGTATGTGAGCATTCAGTTACAGGCCCAGTTCAAAGACCTACATAATTTTTTCATCATTATTAGCATTTATTAACTTTTACACAGTAATGGTTTCAGTATGACATTACACGCACACACACGTGTGTATGCACACACACAGACACACATACTACACTCTGTTCCTTCTCAGTCTCCTCCCACTGTGCCCTGTTACCCCTCCCCCTCCCTGCAAGCCCCCCCTTTTACTTTCATGTGCCATCTCTGTTGCATTCTTTAATTATAGTTGTTACGAGGACACGTATGTGGTGGTCTGAATGAATATGGACCCCATAGGCTCAACTGTATATGCTTAGTCCCCAGCTGAGGAGCTGTTTGAAAGGACTAGGAGGCCTTCTTGGAGGAGGTGTGTCACTGGGGGGTGGGCTTTGATGTTTCGAAAGTTCACACCAGGCTCAGCGTCTCTCTGCTTGTCGCCTCCAGCATAATGCCTCCGTGCCTGTCACCACGGTCCCCTCCATGACGATAACGGACCAACCCTCAGAAGCTGTAGGCGAACTCCCCAATTAAGTGCTTCCTTTTGTAAGAGTTGCTGTAGTCAGGGTGTCTCTTCTCGGCAGTCGGACAGTGATCTAAGGCAGCATACACATAAATATAAAAAAAATAAAAAACCTGCAGAGGCCGTTTAGTGCTGTTGCTCAAGTGTGTATGTCCTTAGGGCCGGCCACTTGGTATCGGGTAACCGATTAGTGACGTCATCCCAGGGGAAAACTGATTTCCCCTCTGTCAGCAGTCATTAACTGGAACACAATAAATAAAAGCCCAGAGACTGATATTGGGGTTCAGGCTTCAAGCTGGAGATCGGAGAAGCAAAGCAGTCAAGCCGGTAGATCTTTCCTCTACACAGCTGAAATGGAGGTCCTGTCTCCACGAATCCTCAGAGGCGGAAGGCCTCAGATCTGTCTCCTCCCCCTTTTATTCCTTCTCTCCCCAGCCATATCCTCCTGTCTCCACCTTCCTAGTGCTGAGATGAATGGTGTGTGATCACTGGGGCTGAGATCACCTCTGTGTGAGCTGTTTCTTTTAGGACTGGATCACTTTTGTGTACTCAGTGTGGCCTTGAACTAGCAGAGATCCGTCTGCCTCTTAATCCTGAGTCGTGGGATTAAAGGTGTGTGTGTCACCACTGCCTGGCCTCTCTAGCTTGTGGCTGACTCTGCTTTCTGAATCCTCAGGAAAGCTTTAATAAATCATAAATAATGCATCGCCGCAGTCCTGTTGGCCGTTAAGTTTCAACACTCTGGAACCGTACTGGGGAGGGCACAGTCCACTTTATTGTGAGATCCAGCCTAGGGGGCTGCTCTACAGTATTAGGAACCCCGAATCTGCCTCGTCTCTCCAGCATGTGTGTGGCCTTGTGGGAAATGGGTAGAACTGGAGATGACCATATTAAACACAGCATCAGCTTCGGAGGCTGTAGGTGGGCTTGAGGAAGGCAAGCAACGTCGTCATCCACGGGCCTCAGCTTGGGTCACGTGCTCTGTGCCCAGCTTGGGTCACGTGCTCTGTGCCCAGCCAGGTACTGGAAGCCTTTTGTTTTTACAGAGGTCAGATTTTGAGGACAGCTAGCAGGTTTTGTCATATACTCACTGCTGCAGGGCAGGATTGGTCTTGGCTATTACTTTTAGGTTCTGTGCCACCTTGGTTGTTTATTTTTACATTTCAGTTTCATCGTCTGTTTTATGATACAATGTGGTGTGGGCTTTTTCTCTTATTAAAACTGTTTTTCTTTTTTCCTTTTGTTAATCTTTTATTTGCCCCCTTGGAATGAGATTTGCCTATTCCATATTATCTGTCTCTGTCTCTGTGGTGTGAGCTTATGCTCCTATTAAAACTGTTTTTCTTTTTTCCTTTTGTTAATCTTTTATTTGCCTCCTTGGAATGAGATTTGCCTATTCCATATTCTCTGTCTCTGTCTCTGTCTCTGTCTCTCTCTCTCTTTCTGTGTGTGTGTGTATAAAATCTAGGTTCCATATGCGAATGAAGACATATTTGTCTTTCTGACCACAACGCGAGGAACTGTGTTAGAGGGTCACAGCATTAGGACGGTGGAGGATCACCGAGTCTAGCAGTTTCGGAGTTACAGGCCTGGCCTTGAGGGCTTCGATCCATTTTGAGTAGATCTCGCCGTAGTTTTTCTGAGTGAATTCTCCCTAGCGCTTGAGGGGCGCTTGGGCCCTTTGTTACCGTTAGCTCTAACCGTCAGCAGGGCCCTGTCCTTTGCGATGTCCTCTGTCCTCTGCACATTGCAATGACTGGCTGCTGACTGGCGGAACACAGCAGGGAGGGGAGACGTGTCCGTTCCTGCTGTCCCCGGGTTGGCCATGAGGAGACGCTCCCCAAATGTGTTTTAGGGGATGGAGATGACGGAGATGAGGCCACTCAGTGGACAGCTGTGATATCTTGATGTGACTTAACAGTGGGGGAGGCAGGCATCGGAAGATGGGGCGGACGCCTTTCTCCAGTCACCGCTAAGGGTCCCATGTTCTTCCTGCGCTTCTGGCCTGATTCTTGAGGACCTGGGAACAGCCTTTGGATTTCTTCTTCTGGCTTTGGCATGATGCTTGGCACAAGATGAGCCTCCAGTAAATGCTTATCAAACCATTTCCTGTGTTTACCAAACCAAACCAAAATGATGCCAATTTCCAGTTCTACATGTGTTCCGTTTCTCATCAAAATTTTCACGCTAGGGAGGAGCTGGTGTACTTGTTCAGAGCATTGCAGACTTTGCTCATCTGAAATTTGTGTGCACGAAAACACGTGTGTGTGTGTGTGTGTGTGAGTGTGTGTAATATAATCTGTTCATGTGTAGCATGTTCTGATGTGAGTCGATACTTCATTTTTTAAGGTATTTTATTGCGTATCTATTTATTATGTGTGAGGGGACACGTATGTCAAGGCGTGTCTGTAGAGGTCAGTGGACAGACAGCTGTGGAGTCTCTGCTTCCACCCTGTGGGTCCTAGGGTTGGCCTCAGATTGGCTTTGCGCCCCAGGCACTCTCGCCGGCTGTGGCAACTCCCTGGCCTCATGGGTTAACACCTTAAACGCAGTTAGTGAAATAATCTTTAGGTGTAAGAAGTTTTTACATCGTACTTGCGTGGGAACACCGCTTTGTCTGTACTTTTTAGTTCTGTGGTTCAAACAGTCCAAATTTTTTTGTTTTCCTTTCCTCTAGAATTTTCTGTTACTTGATGAGCTGCCCCAGCGCAAAGCCCAGGAACCATGTGATGGTAAAGCCATAGTGCACGTGCAAGATTTCACCGCCTTCTGGGACAAGGTAACAACCCCCTTCCCCCCACCCCCGTGGTTTCCAAGACGCAGCGGGTGATGCCAGTGAACAGAGTCTACAAAAGGCATTCGGCTCATAGACTGGAATCTTATAAAAAATTCCCAAAATCCAAAAAAAAATTGTTATCCTAAAGCATTGGAAGGGTGTTCTTTGAAAACCACCCCGTTTTATAGTTGTGTCCATGTGGGTCTGAGGCCATGTCTGTGTGCAGTTGCCCACAGATGCCACTAGAGGGCATCGCATCCTTTGGGACCGGAGTTAACAAATGCTTGCAAGCCACCCTGTGGGTGCTGGAAACCAAACCCAAGTTCTCTGGAAGAGCAGCCAGGGCTTTTCACTGGTGAGCCGTTTCTCCAGCTCCTGAACGCTGTGGCTTGTCTCATTTTGACACACATTTTCGTCATTGCACTGGTGTTGTTAGACTGCACAGGGCCCGGCAGACTCGGGGTCAGTGTGGGATGGGGCTGACTGTGTACATTCTAAAGTGCTGCAGATTTTCGTCTTGTTTTCATCTCATCTCAGAGCTTATTAAACAAAGTCTGTGACTTGTGTATTTTTCCCCTTGGGGGGTCAGAGTAGGGACCCCAGTGCTCCGTGCCTCTGGTTACCTGAGTGGTAACCTGCAGGGAGACGGCAGCCTGCTGACCCCAGTAAGCTGCCTGGGGGTCGAGCGGTGTAGGGTTTCACACCTGCTGGACGGTGAGGCCAGGAGGGTTTCCCACGTTGGATTCCCGCAGGCAGACAGGAAGGGTGACGGGCATGGCCGTGAGGAGGCCCTGCTCAGTTCTGTAGGCTTAGTGCGCGCCCCTGCCCACTGCTTCGGGGCCTCCTGCACCGGCTCCGCTGCGCGGAGCTCCCCTCAGTCTGAGAAACAAGAGTCCATCCACGCAGCGTGGCAGCGAGTTTGCTGAGTGGACAGGGATTGCAGGGGGGTGAGAGAGAGAAGGGGGTGCAAATACCGCCAGCCTCACACCAGCGTTTCCCGTGGCTGAAGCTGAATGGGCAAGAGATCCCGGGAGGCACCGTTTCCTGGGGTTTGGAATTCTCTGGAAAAGCCAGCTGGAGGCTGAGGGACGCTCCTTCCCAGCTTTGCCTCCCCCTGCCCTGGGGTACCCACGTCGCACCAGGGACCCCTGCTCTCTCCATGCGCCTGCTCATGCTTACGTGCTGCTGCGTGGCCTGCATCACGCACGCTCCCCCGGAATTCCGCCCCTCTACCCACGGGCCAACGGTGCAGCCTCCAGATACGGAAACTACGCCCTTGCGTGCTCCACTCACGGAAATCCCTGCGAGGCGCTTTGTCTGGCCTGCGAGTTTCTTCTTTAGTTTCTTGGTATATGCCAACACAGTCTTTAAAGCGTCGGTGGGAGCCGTGCCCAAAACGCAACCGGAAAGCGCCCTGGATGCACGCTGCCGGATGAGGTGCAGCACCGCAGGCCATCTGTCGGCCGAATCTCGTCTCTCTCCAACTCCCCTACGCTCGGAAGCTGGCTGTTTTATTCAGATGTCCTCAGGCTTGAGTTTCCACACAGAATTACACCGTTTCCCTGGACTTGTCTGGGGGGTGACTATAACCTTTGGGCAGGGTGCCCTTGGGTCAGGCCCAGATAGGCCACTGGGTGGGGCTGCCCCCCCCCCAGATGCTAGGGTCTAATGAAGAACGTGCTGGCCTGGGGTTTAAGTTGTTGGCTTCTGCCACGGCCCGCCGGAAGGTCAGGTTAGTACTAGGGAAAGCCCTTCTCCTTCTCCTAGTTCCCTTTTATATGCCCAGTCTCCAAGCTCACACTACATGGTCCCAGGGGGACCTGTACATCTCCAGAGGGGCTGGAGACCGCTGCTGTCTGCCTCGTTCACTGCTGGATCCCCGGGGCGTGGCCGAGCTTGCAGCGAGAGAGGCTCCATCAGCGTTGGCATCGCTGTGGGAGGAGCAGCGGAGCGAAGGGCCAAAGCCTCCTGAGCTGCCTGGCTGGCCGCTTCTGCTCACAGCACAGCAGGGCTCAGGCCTCAACCTCCAGAGGGCAGGGGCCACGCTGTCCTAACCAGGAACCCGCAACGGGTAGATTTTGTCTTCCCTTGTGCAAGGCGGGCCTGCCCTTCAGAAACTCATTTTCCAGAGTGCAGATGGCTGTGTGGCCTTGGCTTTTTTGTTTTTGTGTTTTTTCCTGTGATACAGAGGACCATTTCCCTCAGTGTGTTGTAGAGAACACCTGCCCTTTAAGAGAGTATCTTACAAATGGCTTGGAGGTTCAGGTGAATTTACTACAGCCTTAACTGTGTGCTACGCACGGATGTATCCTGTGGGCAATGCAGATGGATCAGATCTGGGAACAGAACCCCCCACCCACCCCAGACAGCCGCATCTCTACTAAACTCTCCATGAGTTGAGTGTGTGATGCTGTCTGAACGCACTGATGTTGGCTTTAGACAAAAGTTCTTACAGCTGGTGATCACTACTGTGAAGATCTGCACTCCCAGTCTGCTTACTGATGAAGACTGCTCAGTCTGACGTGCTGATTGACATTGGCTGGGGAAAAGGAAGCTTCATTCTGGCCCACGGTGCTCCGTTAAGATCCCGTAGAGCACACTTCTCCCAACTAAATTTGCAGCGTAACGGAAGTTGCATGTAGATGTGGATTTGATTTGGTGCCTTGAAGAAATTCAACCGAGACACTACAAAACAACTTAAGAATTGTCAGTGGCCTCTCTTCTTGAAATTTAGTACCAGTTGAGTATTTTATCTGAAGTGTTTGAATCAGGTGTTCCACGTTTTTGGAAGTTTTTGATATTTCCATGTACATTATGGGAAACAAGACCCAGGTGTAGACATGAGAATCATTTGCTCGTCACGTCTGATCGTGCATGTAGCTCTAATGTGGTTTACTACATATGGAATTTCACACTTGTGCTGTCAGTAAGTTTCAGCTTAAGGAACTCGCAATCTTACGTTTTTGAATTTGAAATACTTAGGTAAGCCATATGCTTCTTTGTGTTAAAATGTGTAGGTTGCCCAGGAACGTGACTTCTGATAATATGGTGTGCCTCCTCCTGCTCCCCCACCCTGCTATGTGTAGCCTGCTCCTCCATGGTTGTCATGGCAGCAGGATTGTGTTGACCCTGTTCAGCAAGACAGGCCGTGCATGTCACAGGTGTAAGGCACCTGGTCTACTTGCGTACACCGAGCTTAAATTTCTTAATTTTTGTTGTCAAACTCACTCTCTTGCTACGGTATTGATGGTGTCTGTAGGACATTTTTTTCTTTCCCCCCTGTGGCTGACTTCATGCTATCAGACGTCATCCTGGGTCCTGAATCCTCACAGTCAGGACACAGTATCTAATTGCTCTTCAGCTGGCCGGGCATGGTGTGTTCTATGCTGCCACCTTGTGGGAGTTAATGACATAGGTGATTAAAACTTGAGGTCCCAGTGAACGTTTAGGAATGATTAACATCCTCCTACGTGGAAAATTCTGTTGGAAATACCGTGTTTGTGCCTTCGTGTGATCCAAGAATCTCTCATCACGAGAAGACAGAGTTCTCCTTTCTACTGCTTACATTCGAATTCATCCAGAAATCGGGACTCAAGTTTATGTATCTAAATAAGTTGACTTAAATGAACAGAATGAAAAGACGTACCGTCTTCAGTGAGGAAGAAGCATGGGCTACGTGTGTATGTTAGTGTGCTGTAGTTTTATTTCTTCTGCTTTTCAAAGGGACTATGTTGCTTCCTTAAAATGAGACACGTTGTACACCTTACCTCGTAGGCATTAGACACTCCAACCCTGCAAGGCCTTTCCTTCACTGCCCGGCCTGGGGAGTTGTTGGCTGTGGTCGGCCCCGTGGGAGCAGGCAAGGTAAGGTTTTTGTCTTCGGGTTGGCTCTTTGGGAATTGCTTGTGTGACTACTACTCGGGATAGAAGGACTAAGAATGAGGGAGACTCCCTTTTTCCAGTGTGACCCCCCTAAATGCTGCCCAGGTCTTGGGAGGCCGTCCAGCTGAAACCGTTCCTCTTATGACTGACCCAAGTCATGTCAGTCCAGATTTAGCCCAAGCACAGCGATGGGTTCTCTTGAGCCTGGACCAGACCCAGGCAGCTCGGCCTTTCAGAAGGACTGGGTTCCGGGCCAGGCGGACAGTCTCTGGCTCTCTGATTGCGGTAGGCACACACGTGATAAACTGGGCGGGGATTCCTTCTGTCTGTGGTGAAGACTTGCTCCTCAGAGCTCCTTTAAATAAAGATCCTTCCCAGTGCTTTGGATGCATCATTGGCGCATGGACTTTCTGGAATAGGCGCTTAAGTGAAGGCAGTCTGGCTTATCTGGATGCCGCCGCAGCTTCATTCAGTATTGGGTATGAGAAACTTCTATTACGCTAGGCCATGATTCTGCTGTGTGTTTTGATCTGTCGGTCTGTCTGTCTGTCTATCTATCTATCTATCATCTATGTGTGTGTATTTATGTATCATTATCTATCAATCTATCTTCTATCATCTATGTATATATGTGTATGTATGTATCATTATCTATCATCTATCCATCATCTATGTACATGTGCTTTTTTGTATGTATATATGTATCTATCATCATTATCTATCATCTATCTATCTATCTATCTATCTATCTATCTATCATCTATGTGTGTATTTGTGTATGTAGCTATTATGTATCTATCTATATATCTATCTATCATCTATCAATGTTTATCTGTGTGTATATGTATGTACATATGTATCTATATATTAATCATATATCTATCTATGTATCTATGATCTGTCTGTCTGTCTGTCTGTCTGTCTGTCTATCTATCTATGGAGAATGGGTCTCAATCGCCCACAATGGCCTTGGGACTTGCTATGTTGCCAAGGTTGACATTGATCCTCCAGCCTCAGTCTCCCCAATGCTGAGATTATAGGTGTGCACCGCGGCACCCAGCAAAGATTGTTAATTACACATAGTATTTCATACAGCATTGCATATAGCCAGCGATTCTATACAGCATTGCATTTGGGGGAAGATCATTTGGGAGGGCCGGTTGTCACAATCTATTTTTGTGTTGTTGGTTTTTTTTTTGTATTTCTATAAAATACAGTGGTGTCATTTCTGTGTTGAGTTTTGCTTTTAAGTGCAGTGTTTTCCACAAGAAGGTGACGCTTGGCCAGCTGTGCAGACACTAACAGCACGTGTGTGTATGTGTGTGTGTGTGTGTCGTAAACTCTCTTTCAGTCCTCACTGTTGAGCGCAGTGCTGGGTGAGCTGCCTCCGGCCAGTGGGCTCGTCAGCGTGCATGGGAGAATCGCCTACGTTTCCCAGCAGCCCTGGGTCTTCTCGGGAACCGTGAGGAGCAATATTTTATTTGGGAAGAAATATGAGAAGGAACGCTACGAGAAAGTGATCAAGGCCTGCGCTTTGAAAAAGGTGACCTTTGAGTTTCTTACTCTCCGTTTCCCAGTGATGCTTGCAATTGTGACTCTAAACAAGTCATTAGCAATGCTTAAGCTAAGCTTTTGGAAGCCTGCCCGCCCCCACTCATTAGTTTGGTTTGTTCTATGAAGCTCTGTTCACTTTTAGCTGTTTCTGTGTCCTTATGTCCTGATTGCCACATCTACGGTGGGAAGGGGGACCCCCCAGCCCCCATCCTGTTTCTGTAATCCTTAACTTAAAAAATGTATTTATTTTTATTTTATGCATACGGGTATTTTGCCTGCATGTATGTCTGTGTACCCGATATACATCTGGTGTTTGCAAAGGCCAGAAGAGGGCGTTGGATCCCTTGGGGCTGAAGTTACACATAGTTGTGAGTCACCATGTAGGTCCTGGGAATCGAACCTGGCTCCTGGAAGAGCAGCCAGGGCTTTCATAAAACACTGAACAATTACAAAAGTGGAGAGGCCAGCGTGTTGAGCCCTCGAGCACCTGTCACACAGCTTTAGCCACAACCCACCGGTGACCAGTCGTCAGTCATTTTTCTCCGAACTTTTGGAGCCTCGTCCCCACTCCGTGTCATTTTCTAGGGGACCCAGAGCCCTCTGTGTTTCATCTGTGAAACTTTTCATTATCTGTGCTTAAGAGAAGTCCCTTGGGCGGGCGGGGCGGGGCCGGGCGGGGCGGGGCGGGGCACCACGACCGTATAACGTTCAGGAAATAACAAAATTGCCTGAGGTGGTGCGGTCTAGTCAGGCTGTGGATTTTGAGTCCTGATCGGCCGTCAGCTTGCACGACTGAGAATAAACTGGGCAGGGAATTCTACAGCCCCGGCCCAACTTGGGCTTCATTTATTTTAAAGAAAGGTTTTCAGAAATTATGTTGGGCTGCCCTGAAAATAACAAGATGAAATTTTTTTTTGTTACGCATGGCGATTTTAATAAAACTGGTAGATTATTGATGAAAATCGAGCGTGCCTGATAAGGAGAATATAATAAGTTAGCAGGTAGACAGAAGGCAGACGCCTACAGACACTGATTCTGGATTTGGCTGTAAAAATCGATCAATAGTAGCTCGCCATAGTGTCTGTTTACAGCATCCTGGACCCCGACTGTGCTTTTCTGGTGTGTGGAAAAGGCCAGACAGTCCCCACAGAGCTGCAGTGTTGAAGGCTCTGTAGTCCACTCTCTGAGGAAAAGTGTAATGTCATTTGGACTATAGCTGGAATGTCATAGATTGTGTTGGTCAGTGGTGGTGTATGATGGTGTGGAAAGAAAATAACTTTGTGTTTTAGTGGGACTTCTTGCCTTCTGGGTGACAGTTAATGGGAGACTGTGTGTTTTTATAAATGACATCAAGTCACAGTGACAGACTAGAGTTGCACTAAGTAGTAAATATATAAACATATATATATTATAATATAAATACAAAAATGCTGGAGAAGAAATATAAATATCATAACATAGCTATATACTGCATAAGAAATATAATATAAATAATATATAACTATATATATATATACTGCATAGAAAGGGAGAATAATAGATCTCTTGTGTTCAAAGTCTTATGTGTTCATCTGTCTCATTCGCTGTCTCTGCATACCTGTGCAACAGATCTCCACAGCTGACTCTGTCTATGCCAGGCCTCGCCATTGATAATTATATGCAAGCCATAAGTAAATGTTTCTCATATGCGGGGCGTTGCAGACCTGATCATTATCCTGTTATTTGGGGGCATGCTTTGTCATTTCTCTACAGGACTCTGTGCTTTGTCAATTTAAATTTCAACATAAAAATGTTGATTTGAATACATTCCTAGATCCTCAGTGGAAATTGAGTCTTAGCTTTCTTTCTTTCTTTCTTTCTTTCTTTCTTTCTTTCTTTCTTTCTTTCTTTCTTTCTTTCTTTCCTTCCTTCCTTCCTTCCTTCCTTCCTTCTTTCCTTCCTTCCTTCCTTCCTTCCTTCCTTCCTTCCTTCCTTCTTTTTCCTCCCTCCCTCCCTCCTCACCAGCATCCTCTCTTAAGCCTGCCCCAGCTCTGTGGCCTCATGGTTGCTGTCCTTTGAACACAGCAGCACACATCGGCTGAGAGGAGCTCTCTCTCTGGATATGATGCAGTCTTTTGGCCCCCCCCCCCCCGCGTTTGGCGGTCCCACTCCGCCCTAACCTCTCTTTATCTGAGCCCTGGCTGGTCATCCGGTGGGAAACCGTACCTTCCTACCAGTCGCCCCACAGCTAACTTCCTGTGTCTTGAACAGCGTTATTAAGTTTTCATGATGCCAGTCTCCATCATGGATACTGTGGGGACTTCGTTCTCTTCACCGCCGAAGCCACCATGTCCAAAAAAAAAACGACTCCGAGTCTTTGGCGCATGTCTCTTAAAATAGTTAAGCGCCTCAGAAATAGTTAAATCCCCCGAAAAGCCGTGACATGGGAATTCCCGAGTCCTTTGCGGCTGATTAAATGTACACGCGTGTTCTCCCTGCCCCGCCCCCACGATACTGCTGTGGGGCATAAGATGACTTTGGGAGAGCAACCGTAAACCTCCCTCCTCTGTCTCTCCGCGCAGGACTTACAGCTCTTGGAGGATGGGGATCTGACCGTGATAGGAGACCGGGGAGCCACGCTCAGCGGAGGGCAGAAAGCTCGGGTGAACTTGGCACGGTAAACTCGTCTTCCAACTGCCTGTGTGCCTATGTCTGGATGAAGCTTCAGGCGGTGGGGCGCGTCTTGTCCACTTTGAATGAGCATCCAGGGGCTGAGCACCGCGATCCCAAGACAGCGCTCCTCGTCTGACTTCTCGTCCTCGCCTTTCAGGGCCGTCTACCAAGATGCCGACATCTACCTCCTTGACGACCCGCTCAGCGCTGTGGATGCGGAAGTGGGCAAACACCTGTTCCAGCTGTGAGTTTGCTCTGTCTTACGTCAGCCCGTGTTCAGGGACCCCGTGAAGGACGTGCAAATTCTGCAGCTTCCCCTGGGCTCATAGTATGCCCCTCTTCTCCTCTGTCCCCCTCCATGTGACCCATTTTACAAGCACAAGACCGAGGCAGGGAAACAGGGAAGGTCCTGTCGGTGCGGTGATGTGCACAGAGCCCGTGCTTTAGAGTTTCAAAGGGAAGGCATATTCTGTACACCTCTCCTCCTGCTCCCTGGTGTTCACGGCCCCCAGGAAGAGAGAGATGTGCACTTTTAAATGGAAGGAAGTGGCTTGGTAGCTGGGTAGCAGGGAGTCGGCTCTTTTCCCCCATAATTTAAAAATAATTTGCTTTATTTCAATGCATATGTGTATACGTGTATGTATGTCTATGTGTATGTGTCTGGTTAATGAATGCCACATGTGTGTCCGTGCCGGAGGAGGCCACAGAGGGGATTGGATTCCCTTGGAGCCGGAGTTAGAGGTGGTTATGAGCCACCTGACGCGGGTGTTGGGTACCAAACTCTGGTCCCCTGTAAGTGCTCTTAACTGGCCATCTCTCCAGCCCCTCCCTCATAATATTTTTTTTAACTTTGTGTGTGCAGTGAGGCTTCAGTGGTAGCATAGGGCCTCCATGGAAAGGCCTTACTGGTTTATGTTGAGCTGTAGGCTGGGAGGCTTGGGGGCACTTGAGAAGGGGATTTCGTTCCTTCTGAGCAAAGGAGCGGTAGACACAGGTATGAAGGTGTGGACAGGGAAGGCACCGGAAGCCGAGCGGGCACACCTCCCTCAAGGGGAGGCGCAGAGCTCGCAGCGGATGAAGAGCCCCGGAGATGCCAGCTCGAAGTTCCTGCCTCGTTTAGCTCTGGGAGCCAAGATAGAGCGCTACAGATGGTGTGGCTCTCATAGCAGCATGAGCCCTGGAGGCAGAGGTCAGGTTAGGGCACCCCTTTCACCTTTCTCTTCTTAGGTGTCTCCCCCCACCCCCCAGATCTCCCCTTCTCCAAACGATGGCGGTCAGGCTGACCGAGGGCCACCCTCATAGCCACTCTTAAGTCTCTCTCCGGAGGCCCTGTCTTTAAATCGTTAGGTGTTGGGTGAGCTTTGGTATGTGGATCCAGGGGAGTGGGGCTCAGTTTGTAAAAATCACTAGCAGAGTGAAAATGGAACATCCAGGCTCTGGATTCTGGGATTGGGGAGAGCGCCCGGGAGATGGATTGTGTCTTGTGTTGTGATTATTGACGCGTTCTGGCCACGGGTGGCAGTGACGGTTGGACAGCAGCGTGGATGTGCTTTATGCTGTGGCGAAGACGCTTAACGTGGCTATGGTAATGGCTTTTATGGCATGTGCATTTTGCCACCACAGAAATAAAAACGCGCGTGTGCGTGAGGTAGTGTTGAATGGTTCCGAATGCGGAGAGCGAGAACAGCTGGCACTTGGCGTAGATCCAGCCCTTTCCTGTCCCCCCCCCCCCATCACTCACAGACGAGTTCTCGGTGGGATGCTGTCGTGGAGTCCCTTGGGAGGTGGGAGGGAGGCGTTTCAATCGCTAGGTACCAGTATGTGGATCACAAGGGTGTGCCCCCAAGTTTCCCTTTGAGCGTGGGGGGTTTTATAAAGTCCTCTTGCACCCTTAATGTTAGATGGCCCTGGAGAGACACCCGATAGGAGCAAGCTTGTTAAAATTGTTGCTTGCTAATCAGAAACCGCATTCTTTTGGGGGAAGCTTGGAGCGGGAAGCACGAAGGCAATTTAGGAAATCACTCAGCAGCAGCTGGAGAATGCTCCCAGCGAGTTAGAAAATTGGACTAAACAATACGCTATGAAAGATGGCGGTCGCGTCGGAGCTCAGAAACGTGAAGTGCTTTGTATTAAACGTGAATGGATTCTGTTTGCCACTAACAGTCTTATTTCAATCACAAATATACATCCAAGGTTGTTAAGGTTTGCGAGCTCTCCAGCTCTGCGTTGCAGACGTAGGAAACGGAAAGCCAGGGACCCCAGACTGATGCCAGTCTGGTCTAGCTGTGGCTTCTGCATTTCAGAAAGTCTCAAAATCACAGATGCCTGCCTCTTCCGCGACCTGTCCGGGGCTATCCTAGCTAGCTCTCCCACACTGCAGCCAACCCCCAGAGACTCAGTGTCTGCACGCCTTTATTGGCATAGGCGACTGTGACAAAATGCCAGAACTGGGTGACTTCGGAACAACAGGAGTGGCATTTCTCATAGCCGCGGAAGCTGGGAGCCCGAGGTGAAATGCTAGTGGATCTGCTGCCTCATGAGGACTTGGCGATTCGTAGATACATGTCTTCTGGCTTTGCCCTGACTGGCAGAAGCGGTACCGCCCATCCATTGTTCTCTGTGATACGGACCAACACCAGTCCAGTCCACCACAACGGCAGACTCCCACGAGAAAGCCCCAGCTCTCCATGCCACCGCACCGGTGATTGATTTTCAGCGTGTGAACGCGTGGAGAGACAGAAGCCTTCAGCGTCCTGCGGTGGCTCACCATCTGGGCTCCAGGTTCTCGCATACATTCTCACCACCGGGACGCAGCTCCAAGTTCTAGAAGGGAAGAGCAGTGTCTTCTTTGCGATCTGCCCCGCCGCCGCTCCCCACGTAAACCAGAATCCCAGCATTCTAACGCGTGTGTTGGCATGCTGAATGACTCGTGCCTTTTTTACACCTACTGCCTGTCTTGGTGTCATCCCTTCTTAGCCTGGTGGCTGTGAATCAGGAGACAGGAAGGAGACAGACCTACGTGCCTGGCTGTCTCTCCTGCACCTCCAGGAAGCATTATGCTTCTTTCTGTGTCTGGTAGATGCTCTTCGTCCATTACCCATAGCATTCAATGTGGGGTGCTGAATTATTTTGCACCTCAAGCCCATACTGGACTTAGTGCATGGAAACACCCCAGAATCATGGCACCCTGCCAGGGACACAGCACCCCACCAGGGGACACAGCACCCCACCAGGGGACACAGCATCTCATCAGGGACACAGCACCCTGCTATATCGCCCTTGTTACCGTATCTCCTCTGCGTGAGCCGCTGTGTGGCTGGTTTACTTCGTCAGTGGGTGTAACACCTGGTACCTGGCACTCGGCATATCGACTAAATGAATCCAAGCACTTACTGCCTCTGTCTTTTCTATTCGTGGGCCTGAAACATCCTCTGTGCTATGGGGTGGGGCAGGGGCGGGGCGACAATGGTTCCGTCGGCATTTTGAGGTTCTTGGATGGGATCAGATTTAAGTGGTGAACCAGCCAACATCGGTGTGACATAGGAAGGCACAGAGGCCTGTGTCTACATCGGTTTAGTGACTTGGGAGGCGGAGGCAGGAGGATTCTTTGAGTTTAGTTATTTGGGACAATCTGAGCAATATACCTAATCTCTCATAATACATACATACATACTGACTTAGAAAGTTTTACTTTTTAAAAATTTAATGTATATTTCCCTAGACATCTTTTGGGGAGAAAGCACCTCATTTAGGAAAAACATAACACCATTAATTGTAAAATTATTTTTAAAAATGAAAATATAATTATGTCATTTCTCCTTCCCTTTCTCTCCTTCAACTCCCATGTGCCCCTGTTCCCTCTTAAAATCATGGCTTCTTTTTCTGTTTTTGTTACTGTAGCACACCACACACAACACACACACACACACACACACACGTGGCACACACTCGCCTAAGCATATAAATACAACCTGTTCGCTCTATATAACGTTACACGATGATTGTGAGGTGCCAGCAGCCTTAGCTGAACATCTACAGCGCAACCCCTGCATCTGAAAGTTCAGGGACCGTCACAGAAAACTGGAAGGAAGATGTGTCAGGACCAGAGGAGCAGGAAGTTTGCTGTGAGCGTGTCTCCTGGAAATGTCAGAAGCCACACCCGTTAATTCTCTCCGCCCTGGCTGCCTAGCACTACCCGAGCATGGACGACACTGACAGACATGCTGATGTGAAAGTCTGCTACATGGATGCCATACTTAGGCATGCTGAGTTAGGCGTGCTGAAACCTTTAGACATGGCCTTCCCCTGGGAAGAGCGCACCAGCTGGGTATCCAGCACCGAGTGGTCAGCCCTGAAAACATACGTGCAAGTAACGTTAAACAGATTGAGCGGGCTGTAGTTACACATTTAGGCATTTGTGTGTGCTTCTGAGATCTATGACTTCTCCAGCCCTGGGTAATTGACTAGGCTTCCGGTACGAAGCACTTTTTCCCTTCTGACGAGAGCCCCTTCAGTACAATTAGAGAGCTGTTGGTTACCACTAAAACATGAGCGCCTCTATTACACCCTCAGGTCATCGTACGGTGGCGGTCGTGGGTCATTGTGTTGTAGCTGTAGTAGCTGGGTGGGACTCCGGCTCCCCTTGTCTGGAAGTTTGCACAGTACCTTCTGAATCTATGAAAGCTAGTCGTCAGGGAGGAGTCGCCTTGTTTGTGAGACTGAGAAGCTAACCCTGCCTCAGGTTTAGTAACTAGCTAGGTGAGAATAGACAGGGATTGGAAGAGCTCCATCCTGTGTCTCCCCATGGCTACCTCAGACTGACAATGTCACCCTGCCAGCTTATGGCCTGCAGCCCTGCAGGTTGCTCTGTGTGAGAGAGAGAGAGAGAGAGAGAGAGAGAGAGAGAGAGAGAGAGAGAGAGAGAGAGAGAGAGAGAGAGAGAGAGAGAGAGAGAGAGAATATCCTATGACAGCCCTCAGCCAGTTTTCCCTGGCCTAGTCCTGTGCTAAGGCTAGGTTCTCCTGGGTCCGCTGTGAGAATGTGGGTGCGCTTGCAAGGGGGAAATCTAAACCCCAAAGGGTGTACACCGAGGTCACTGACCTCTTTCCTGCCTTTCAAATTCTGGAGGTTTTCAGTTCTAAAAGAGCATTTGCTCCCAGCACGGGGAGCTAGGGTTGTGGTGGAGATGGCTTGTGACCTCCTCGGTCCCTTTTCTGCCCACTAATGCAAGTGTGCATTAGTAAACACTCCAAGGCCATTTGTTTGCTGGGACGTTATCCTTACTACTCAGCTTCTGTTGTGGTTGTTGTTTAGACAGTCCTGAAGTCCAGGCTGGCCTCAAACTTGCTGCATAGTCGAGGACATTCCTCGAACTAACCCTCCTATCCCGACCTCCTTCGCACAGGGACTGTAGGCGACGCCGCCACCAGTTCACGCTCTCCGTGCACTCCGCCAACTGAGCGGTGGCCCTGTCCCCTAAGAGCCTTTAATTAATCAATGTGTACATCCTGAGCAGGCACCTAAGCAGACATCTGAGGAAAGTAACCACCCTCTCACGTGATGTGAGTCTGTTTCTTTAGGATTCCTGTACCACACTGTAAGGAAACTAGAGTTTCAGTCCAGCCGTGTTTTGGAATATTAGTGCTGTTCAATTGCTTTTATTATGTCCCGCACCAATTCCGTTTCTTGGCTATATCATGTGTAAGTATGCACAGTTGTTAAACTAAGATTTAGAAGAAAAGTGGCAGACACGGCCTTTTCTACTGGCTACCTTCCAGGGTTTGTTAGAGCAAGACTCGGGTGTTGCTCGTGGATTTGAGTACTTAGTTCATGTTGTTAACTCAGGTTTGCATTTAATTTTTTGGTTCATTTTTATGGCCTTTCAGTTGCGTCCGTGTGTCTGTGTGTGGGTGTGTGTGCACATAAGTGTAGGTGCCCTCAGGGCCCAGAAGGGGACCTTGGATCCCTGGGGTTGGAGTTATTGGCTGTTGTGAGCTGCCCGATGGGGTTGCCGGCAACCAAAGTTGATTCCCCTGCAGGAAGGAGCAGTGCCCACCCTTAGCTGCGAAACTCTTCAACCCGTGTCTGTACGTCTTTTAAAGTACACCCCGTGGCTGTGTTGTCTTTGCCTCGTTGTGGCTTGAGCTCTTCCTGTGCCGCGTGGAGAACGCCGCTGATGTGTTTTCTCCTCCGGTGGCGTTTACATCTGTAGGTGCATCTGCCAGACCCTGCACGAGAAGGTCACCATCTTAGTGACACACCAGCTGCAGTACCTAAAAGCCGCCAGCCACATCCTGATACTGAAAGACGTAAGTCGCGATTCGCTCTTCACAAGCAGGGCTGGGGTTGGCCAAGGGACTTCAGCACAGATTGTGGGCAGCAGCGCTCAGGGAAGGGAGAGCCCTTGAGAAGAAAGTCGGATGCACCCAAGAGCGAGGCTACGCGCTCCGCAAAAGGCAGGTTCAGATTGTGAGCAGCGTAGAGTCCACGGAACCAGCCAGCACCTCCGTTTGAGAGTGGGGCTCCTGTCAGGCTGCTCTCTGTGGACCTCTGGGGAAGGCTGCCTGCCCTCCCTGAATTTCACACCCGCTCCCTAGAGTTGAGATTCATGTCTCTGAGGATAGCCGGAGGACTTTCAGAAATAGCACCTTGAGGGCTGGATGTGGCCCATGTCCACCACAGTGGAGTACCTCAGACAGGTCACTTGGTAATGTTTCCCCCTTTTATCGAAAATGGATTTTTTTCTTGGGCAATATATCCTTATTACACTCTTCCCTCCCTCTGTGCCTCCCGGTTCCTACCTCCTCTCCCATCTGGATCCACTCTCTTTCTGTTTCTTCTTAGAAAGGAACAGGCCTCTAAGGGATACCAACCACACATAACAAAATATGATGTAATAGGATAAAGCAGAACCCATCACATCCGGGTTGGAGAAGGCAAATTAGGGGAAGGGAAAGAGCCCTAAGAGCAGGCACAGGCATCGGAGACGCACTGGTTCTCACACTCAGGAGTCCCAGAAAAACACCAAGCGGAAAGCTGTGTTACATATGCAGAGGGCCCGGCGCAGACCTGTGCAGGACCCGTGAGTGCTGCTTCCTTCTCTGTGAGCACTTTGAGACCTGGCTCAGTGGATTTGTTTGAGTTTGTTCTCCTGGTGTCCTCCATCCCCTCTGGCTCTTAACGCTCTCGCCACCTCCTCTTCTCCCGTGCTCTAAGGGGAGGGATTTGATGGAGAGGACAGGTCACTTTTATAAGGACACAGTGCCTCTACGGGCTCCCTTCTCAAAGGCCTTCCTGGCTGCAGCTCTGGAAGGGGGGGAGGCAGACAAGGAGGCGCTCCACACACTGAGAAACAACACCCGGAGAGATCATGGTTCCACAGCCCCTCCCTTCTGGACTTGGGCCTTCCTACCAGGCCCCACCTCCCAAAGGTTCCAGAACCCTCCCAGCAGGTGCCACCCCGAGGACCAAGCCTTTGATCACTCAGTAGGGGGGGACACAAACAATTAAGCCGCATCCGAAGCAATAGGAGCCTTCTTCAATCTCTTGGCCGAGGATGGGAATGGCAAGGGAGTGTTAGTTAGCCAGAGTTCACAGTGTTTGTGTGCAGTTATTCTCTGGGAGGTAAATCACGACTTACTGTGGCAAACGGGTTGTGCGGTGACAGCGGAGTGCCTGCAGAAGTTCCTCTGGTGCCTCCCTGATCCTTGCTGTGGCTTCCAAAGAGAGGTGAGGAAGCTGTCAGTCAAAAGCTCCCTGGAATAAATTCTCACCACAAAGAAGATTATAGAAGGCAGGGTGACTATCCCCCTTAGCGGCAACTTAGTGTGTCAGCTGCCTCCTATGCCCCCGGGAATCGGAACTCGGATTCCTCAAGCTGGAAAACAATTAATTTCATGTGCAGAGAGCTGGATACTCTGCCCGCAGAGTCAGTAGGTGTAGAATAAGTTTTTGTCACCTGTCCCCACATGGAGACTGCTTTTGAGGGCCCTGCCTCCTGCGTACTGCCAGTTTTATTTTTAGCACACAGCCATTCGTTCACCCAATCTCAGGGGCCCCGGAGAAACTGAGACACGCTGTTATTGTTAGTCTGGCCCCTTCCACCTGCAGAGAGGATGGGCCCCTCCCCACATTCCTAAAGCTTTCCTTGGGAACCCGGCCCCTTTCCTTGTGTGTTTTGCCGAGAGGAAGGGCGCAACTGTGTGAAGCAAGTGTGCAAATCAGATCTTATCTCCTGAGTGCAACCAGACGTGGCATTTCAGGAAAAACTTTCTAATCCTCAGGTGACCGGGCTATTACAAGCCCAAAGGCACTGGAATCTTCCTCAGGGGACCACCTTGATTGGCACGGGGGTTGGGCGAGGACAGAAGAGTAGGTGGGGTCCAGGGCCATTTTTTTTCCTAACCCTGAACTGTCCTCACTTTCAGAGCTGCTGTCCTTTGATCCAGGACCCCAGGGTTTTGTCCACTATTAGTTTGTAGCTTTAGATAAATCACCTCGTGTGTTCAAACATTGTGAAGATATTTGCACATTATTTCCTTTAATGTTGGTCAGGAAGAAAACACGGGATGAGACGTCCTGTGGCACGTTGGGTCTTTAGTGAGGAGCTTGAATTTAGGGGGAGGGAGTTTTAGCCTAAGATCATGAAGTTTGCACAGTGGCGCGTTGTTTTATATTGCCGAGCACCTAGAATTTGGCAGAAAACAGAATCGTCACTTAGGAGGCACTTATGCGTCACTCCATACTTGTCAACTAGGACTCCTGGCCCGACTGTAACTTAAGGCCCGTTAAGTGTGGTTTGGTTAGATTAGCGCTAAGTGCCAGGGTCTGCGTCTGAAGTCCATTTTGTTTCAGGGTCAGGTGGTGCAGAAGGGGACTTACACCGAGTTTCTGAAATCTGGCGTGGATTTCGGCTCCCTTCTGAAGACGGAGAACGAGGAAGGGGAGCACTCCTCAGCCTCAGGGACCCCAACTCTCAGGAAACGAACTTTCTCTGAGTCCTCAATTTGGTCCCAGCAGTCGTCCAGGCCCTCTTTGAAAGACGGGGCCCCAGAGGGCCAAGATGTGAGTTCGTCTTGTACCGTTGTATGTCCTCTTTGTTCTTACAGGCCTTGTGACCCTTCGAGTCACTCGGTTGGTGGCAGCCTCGTCTGTCCTGACGTCGAGCCCGTGAGTCTGAGGTGTTACGCAGTGAAAATAGGGTTAAGGGAGAAACCCTGGCTGTGGCTGCCTCCCGGGTGGGGCCTGGAGAACCTCACAGACATCCATAGTGGCTCTTCTACGAGAAGTTCCAAAGATCTGTGTGAAGTCTAGAACTTAACCACGGGCAAATCTGGAGATCCAGCCTTGGCTTTGGCATCCAGAATCGACATAGGAAGGGCACTTCAGAGCCGTGGTTCTCAACCTTCCTAATGCCGAAACGCTTTCATACACCTCCTGTTGTTGTGACCACCCAACCATCACATTATTTTTGTGTCTGCTCCATAACTGTAATTTTTGCTACTGCTATGAATCATAATGCGAATGTTTTTTCCCAGTGGTCTTAGGTGACCCCCGGGAAAGGGTCGTTCAGTCCTCAAAGGTGTTTCCTGTTTGCTTACCAACGCTGCCCCCTTCCTTCACAGACTGAAGATACGCAGGCAGCACAGCCGGAGGAGAGCCGCTCCGAAGGGAAGGTCGGCTTCAAGGCCTACAAGAATTACTTCACTGCCGGCGCGTCTTGGTTTTTCATCGTTTTCCTCATCCTGCTGAACATGGCAGCTCAGGTGCGTAGTGGTGTCCGCGCCCGCAACGCGATACTCACACAACGTACATTAGTGCGTGATAGATGCGTTGCGCCGTCCGGAGGGGAACGGCATCGGCGGCGCCAGCGGGGTTGGAGACGTAGAAAGTGGGGTTGATCTTGTAAGACCTTAGCGGTGACATCTTGTCTGGGAATGGTGCTTGCTGCAGACCTGCTGGGACTGTCCCAGCACTCCGGAAGCCTCCCCCTTTCTCCGCGCCTGGCCGTTTCGAGTTTCAGGCCCGGAAGTCGTGCCAACGTTGTATTTCACTTCCTTTGCAGGTTTGCTATGTTCTTCAGGACTGGTGGCTTTCCTACTGGTGAGTTGTTCCCGTGTGGGTTAAAGGCTACAAGAGCCATCGGTAGCTTCATTTCCCTGCTGGTTTTAGGGAGAAGTGGGGTTTGTTGGACCTGCTATTCTAACCTCAGTCACCTGGGGAGAAAAGAGGAGTGAGGAGAACTGAATGCCAAGATTCAAACTGGGTGTTTTTTTTTGTTGTTGTTTGGTTTTGTTTTGTTTTCCAAGACGTGGTTTCTCTGTGTAGACCTGGCTGTCCTGGAACTCACTCTGTAGACCTGGCCAGCCTCAAACTCACAGAGACCCGCCTGCCTCTGCCTCCTTGGGTGCTGGGATTAATGGTGTGCATCACTACTGCCTGACTTTAAATTTTAGTGTGTGTAAAGGGCAGCTTTTCCTTGCTAGCCGCTTTGGTTTATCACCCGCCAGTCGCCTGGGCTCTGCCACCTTGTAGTCCCCAAATAAACACACAGGAGGCTATATTAATTATGAAGCTGTTGGCCTTGCTTGTTTCTTACTGGCTAGCTCTGACTTAAGTAATTACCCCATAATTGTTAATCTAAGTATTTCTCTTACCGGAGAATAGTTCCGGGCTTCCTACCTCCATGGCATTACATCTTGACTCTCCTCATGTTTCTCCTTCCCAGAATCCTCCTGGATTCCTAGCCCCACCTATCTAGATTCCTATTGGCCAGACAGTGCTTTATTGACATATACACAGGACTTCCCCAACAGGTGTGTGTGTGTGTGTGTGTGTGTGTGTGTGTGTGTGTGTGTACCGTGTGTGTGCCTGGCAGCTGCAGAGGCCAAAAGAGGCCTCCAGATGCCCGGAACCAGAATTGCAAACAATCGTGAGGCGCCGTGTGGGAGCTGAGACTTGAGCCCAGTGCTCTTAACCACTGACCCATCTCTCCAGCCCAATTCACGCTCATTTTAAGAGATGGATACACAAAGGGCTGTGTGAGCTGAGAGTTGTTTCCTAGCACAAGACCTTTCTCCCAAATGGAGGCTCCTTTAAAAAAAAAGAATAATAATCTACCTAATACATTTTCCTTCCATGTTTCTTCCACAGGGCGAACAAACAAGGAGCTCTGAATAACACGGAAAATTTGAATGGAAATGTAACTGAGACCCTAGACCTTAACTGGTACTTAGGCATTTACTCAGGTAAAGTTTAACCATGGGGTCTATTACACGAGAGCCTGAGGTGCTTACGATGAGCCCGTGTGAGCTACCAGAGCTCCTAGGAGTAATTCAGCGGCAGCGTCTTAACAGATTAGGAGACTGAGTAGCATTTACTCTCTGAATTAATTAGAATAATTATTATTTTTTTCTAATCTACCAGAAGAAAGAGGTTGAATGAAGATTCTTAATTTGCTCTGTACTGGGTTTTGAAAGTTAAACTAGGATTGAGCGTTCAGAAAACCAGCCACTGGAACTATGTGGCTATTGACTATTCTAATAGGTTGCTCTCGCTAACTCTTCTATCATTATATGGACGGGAGGGGGATTAGAAACGGATCCCAGTCCCGTGCTTTCGATTGCTCCAATTCTGTCTGAATAAAGCCTAGGCCTTTATTGGGCTTGGATAGAATCCTGTGTCAGCAAGGCCCACAAATAAAAGCCTTACCCCCTCACAGGTATGCCAAGTTCCCTTCAGCACACGGCTCACCTCTCGGGGCTCCTCTAATTCCTGAAGAGGGAGGCTAAGCAGGGAGAAACCCAGTGTCTAGGAATTAGGGCCCCTTCTCTTTCCTACCCCGAGAGCAACAGTGTTATCATATGTCCAACTGTGTGATTAATTTAACATTTGGTTTGCCAGACTAATGCTCACTCCACACTCTGTTGTCACAAGACTGTATGTGTGGAATTACCTCCTTTAAAAAAGAAAATCCTCACCTAAAGTTTCAAGCATTCCCACAGGAAGCACTCACTCTAGCTTTCCCTGGGCAGGGCGAATTATCTGCTGGAGCCCACTCGCCGAGATTTGGTGCTTTTTTTGTTGATCCCTTGCTAAGAAATCCTAATCCACCGACTGGCTACCATCTCAACTATGGAAGACCTAAAGGGGAATGGGTCCATCATCTATTCGAGTAGGCTGGGCAGCTAGGGAAAAATGCTGGTGTGTAGGGTTGTAGAATTTAGGCAGCGTTCAGAGGCGAGATAATAACGCTCTGATGTCATTTCTTCCCGTTCTGGGGGGCAGTGCGAGCTAAAAGCTAAGGGATACCTGGGAGAACAGAGGTTAGGGAGGTAGCTCGGGGGTAGAATCGTTGCCTCGTGTGCGTAATGACGGTCCATCCCCGGCGACACACGGCACACCCCCCACCACACACGTATCTGTGCAGAGTGGTTATCCAAGGGTGCCTCAATTAAACGCGCAGTTTAAACATCATTCAAAATGCATGCCTCAATTAAGCATGCAGTTTAGACGGTGCTCATTCAAAATGCATGATGTTTCTATGAGACACGTGGTGATTGACCGCTCATTTAATCGCCTTCTGTTAAAACACGATGTGTGTTTTCTCACAAGCCGGCCATTTAGGAAGTTTTTTTTTTTTTTTTTTGGTTTTTCGAGACAGGGTTTCTCTGTGGCTTTGGAAGCTATCCTGGAACTAGCTCTTGTAGACCAGGCTGGTCTCGAACTCACAGAGATCCACCTGCCTCTGCCTCCCAAGTGCTGGGATTAAAGGCGTGCGCCACCAACGCCCGGCCTTAGGAAGTTTTTTTACCGTGTGCAACGTGGCGTTTTCAAATTCTTTAAAGCTACTTGGGCATTTACCGCAAGGAGAAGGCGACTCCCTTCTCTGTTAGTACCCACACCCAGGGCAGTGTTAGGTTATGGGGCTCCCAGATAGTCGGTGGATTGGGAGACACAGGGATGACGTTCCTTTGGTTATATTTCTTCTGAGTTATTGCTAGAACATGCAGTTTACATATTAAAAGTTTACACGTTATCCACCCCACCCTTACGTATATATTTTCCATTCAGTGGGAAAGATTTCTTTTTTAATTTTTTGTCAGTGTATCTTATAAATGCATCATCCTTAGGTGGGACCTAGATGTTTACGTAATAAAATAAGTAATATATCTGTAGACTCTTCCAACCTGCTATAGCACCACGGAAGAAGGATGTTGAAGACCCTGTTTTCTCTGGATGATTTTCCTCTATTTCAGGTTTAACTGCCATTACAGTCCTCTTTGGCATAGCGAGGTCCCTGTTGGTGTTCTACGTTCTTGTGAAAGCTTCCCAGACGCTGCACAACAGGATGTTTGAGTCGATCCTGAAAGCTCCGGTCTTGTTCTTCGACAGAAATCCAATAGGTAAGTCAGAGGCCCAGCTCCCCAGTAAATGCGTTGAAGATTTGATGACATTTCGGTCTTTGAAAGGGGAGGCGGCGTGGAGAGAAAAATCTCTCTGCCTGTTTGTTTGTTTTCTGCAGTAAAGCTTCCCTGATGTTTCTCTCCCGAGATAGGAAATCTAAGTATCAGTTTCATAGAAGGTGTAACAAGACATCTATCCGCGTTCAGTTTGCAGAGTACGTTGTTCACCCCGTACTCTCGTGGCTTAAAGAGCTCGCTGCATACCTTGCAGGCAGGTAGAATCTGTTTGCACAGTTGCTAAGATACCAGTTGTGTCCACACCACATTGGCCTCTACCACCTTTTGGAGGGGTCTCCTTAGGAGGAGCCCTTCCCTGAGCAGGAGATGATGGGCTGGGTATTTGCTTCTTTTCTTGGGAGGAACATTCATTTCTTCAAGTGTGAGGACTTGATTGTGCGGTTGACCTGACCGGTGTTAAAGATTAGAGCCCCCAAAATGTGATCGATCACCCCGCCCCCGTAAAAGTTTCTGACTCTGTATGTTATCTCACTTGTTATTATATAATATAATGTAAATATATCATTTATTTGGTATTTTGAGATGGTCCCTTGATGCTACTGCAGCCCTGGCTGGGGTGGAAGTCACTATGTAGACCAGGCTAACCCTGAGCTCTTACCCCTTCCTCACAAGTGCTGAGATTCTGGAGCGCACTATTAACATCCCATTCAACTCTGTCTTTTGACACAAAGGAAAACGACAACCCTCCCCCCCTACATTCCTTCTTTGTCCTAAAGAGGTGCCTTAGGTGCCTTCTCGTGATGGATGGGGGCCCCCACACAAAGGTCCCCTCACCCACTTTGCTTCTGCAGGTACCTCCTTGGGTGGGAATCCTAGGCAGTGTTAGTCATCAGCACAGACTGTGGTCGTCCGGGGGTCAGTCGTGAGGCCCCGGGTAGCTTTGCTTGTGCAGGTGGTGGTTAGGGGACTCACTGCGGAGGAAGCCAGCCTGGAGGGAGCACAGAGGACCGGCTGGCCATCAGATAGCTGCTGGACCTCTATCGAAGCATGCGGATAGCGTCAGACAAACGGTTTTCGCAGTAGGATGTGTTGGTTAAAAGCACGAGGCCTGGTACCAGCGGCCATCTTGACGCCAGCTCCTCGTGAGAGCCATGGCTACAGCTGTGACATGCGGGTAGACCAGTTGACCCAATCTCCCCATGCCTTGGTGTTCGTATGTGTGACATGGGGACAGTATCCTTACCCATCCTCTTAGAAACAGATTTAAGCAGGTGAGTGGTTCCCAGTGCTTGAGGCGGCGGTGCCTCACCCTACTCCGGTCATGAGTGACAGGGACAGTGGCCCTGGAGCTCCGTTTTCTACCCATGAGGTGAAAACACCAATTCTGACTTTTCCCGTCTCACACGATTGACGTGAGTGTTGTGTGAGACGACCCTGGGAGGTGTCACGCATGCATCCATCCCGCAGAAGCTATCTAGTCTGGGCACGAGGTGGAGCCCAGAGAACGGTCAACCGCGGATGCCACGCGAGGTCTGGCTGGAGGATTCGGTGCCATGAGCACCGTAGCTGCTCAGCTAGTTAACTGGAGAGCTGTGCGTAGGCTGGCACGCTTTGCAGACTGTGCTCCGCTGCCCGTCCTATCCTCACAGAGTGCTTCGTGTTCACGCTGGAGACCCATGAGCTCTTCCTGGTGCTGATTTTCATGATTTATCGAGGGGCTTAGGGGCCAGTCTAAATCTCGGGTAACTAATCTTACATCCGGTCAGACGTGTTCGTTCTGCTTCCCCCTGCTATGCCTATTAGCAGGACATCCTCCCTGCGATGAAAACAGAGTCCAAATAAACCCCAAAAGATGGACCTCTTGTTTGCCACAAGGGTGAGCATGAATTATTTACCTTTCTAGTGGAGTCCTTAAAAGGAAAATTACAAAGCGTTTTAGGACTTCAGTTCTCATTCACACAGTATTTTGCACATTTTACAATGGTGAAGAGATACATCGGGGGTATGGATTATGCCATATTAGCCTGATTAATTGTAATTATGTACTGAAGTCATTAGTATGTGTATAACGTGTACAGAAGCATTCCTGTTATGTCAAGCCTCCTTAGTTACACAGCGTGTTTGCTGGGCAGTGGGAAGACACAAACATGTCTTTAAAAATATTTCTCCGTGGACAGCCTTCAGGAGCCCCCCTGAGGTAAGCAGGGGTTTCCTGCTGTCTCTATATCGCTGCACGCCCCCTGATTTCAGACAGCAGCAGCGACTAGAAGGACTTTTGCCAGCATATGGTATCTAGTAAGCTAGACACAGGAGTAGGTTGGTACGGAAGCCACAGTTGGGTCCCATTAGCTCTGCCCCCCTCCCAAGTCCCCTCACCACAATCTGATGCGTCTTAAGCCCAGCTGGGACCTGAGATCTGACCCGTCCATCCCTTCCTTGGTTGCTGCCTGTGTCGGAATCCCAGCGACCGTATTCTGGAAGTCAAAAGCGTCTTGTTCCTTCTGCCATGGGTTCGCCCTGCTCTCCGCACGAGAGAGCTGTCCCTTGATGCCCATCAGGTGGGCGACCTCTGCACTTGTCCAGAGACACCGGCCCACCACGGAGGCCGCAGCGCCGGCCACGGGGCCAGCATCCCACGTTTCTGACTTGGGGAGCGTGGGCCAAACCTGTGAAGGCATCGGTTTCTCTCTGCTGCTGGCTCCATGTGGGTGATGACCACGCGGTCACACCAAAGTCGTGAGGTGTGAAGTTACTCTCGCGATAGAGTCCATGCGTGAGTGTGCAGAGTTAGTCACGGCGTGTCTGCATAGTACGGCCCCTGGCCGTAGACTCATGTTTCATCGTCCGACAAATCCTAAGCTCATAACTAGGACCAATGTTGAAAGCAAAACAGACTCCCCTCGCAGGCAGCCAGGCTATTCTGGACATTGGCCACCAGGGGGCAGCATGGGCTGCAGAATTGCAGGCACAGAGCCTCCCCGCAGAGTGGTTGGAGAGACCAAACCTGGGTTGGCCCTGAAAGCTTCCTTGGAAAGTTGTCCTTTTCTAGTGTGTGTCTTTGTACCTCATTAGACCTGACAGGAAAAACGTTAAAAGGCCTCCCCCACCTTGCCCCCCCCGCCGCCATTTACATGACCAGAACATGAAGCTACATTAAAGAAATCTTTGCATGCCGCTTGAGGACACTGGGCATTTCATTTCAAAGTGTAAGTTCTGATCCCCACTGAGCACTTTCTGGTCTAGACCCCTGAATAGGCAGGGACTGTCCCCCTGACTAGATGTGTGCTATTTCCTGAAGGGTGGGTTCTGACTGGCTTCTGTCTTCCTCCAGGGAGGAAGGGTTTTATTCCTATGACATCTGGACCCATAAAGACCTTGTATTCCGTGCAGTCACCCAACTTCTCCTTTCATTTTCTTTTTTGGAGGCCAGAGGAGTAGCTGGGTAGTGGCCTCGTCTTCTGTGGTCCAGTTTTGGTCACGTAGCTAGTGGCTGACTGCAGTAACTTCAGACTCCACGGAAGTCTTTATTTAGCTTTAGTTTATCAATTTGCCTGGAAGAATTGGAGCTGGCAGTGTAGGCTGGCACGTGTGTTTCCCTTCTCTCTGGAAGGTGCAGAGTTAGTCGTGGGTAGGGGCCAGTGTGCTCATTCACACGGCAGATTTTCGTTTTTTTTTTTTTTTTCCTGTTATGTGTGTGCTGGTGTGTGTATCCCACAGTGTAAAAAGGAGTACCAGCGTATGTCACCATTTTTAATTAAGTATGTGAGAAATAAAATACTGGGAAAGAGGCAAACTGACTTCTCCTGATTTAAAATAGATATTAAATCACACGCGCACACACACACACACATGCATGCGTGCACACACACACACACACACACACACACACACACTCTTTTGATGAAAGTGGTGATCATGGAGAACATCACCAATAGCCCTAGATTTTAAGATAGGCTCCCTTATGTCCATCCTAATAAAAATCCAGAGACTGCACGATGATTAAGACTCACGGCTCGACTGGGTGGGAGACTGGGCAGGTAGATGACTTCACAAATATAAACTATTCTAAGTCAGGCTGTGCCTCTGGGGGGGGTGCAGGGAGGAGGGGAGGGGAGGGGAGGGCTGCCAGTGATTTGCAGTATTATTCTCTTTCTGCAGTCTGGACAGGGCGTCCTCAGAATCCAGGGCAAGTTGCTAAAGGATTCAAGCGGCAGTGAAAAGAGAGTTGAAAGCTACACAGTGGGCGTTTTGTACCATCAGAAAGGCTGTCTTGCTGGAGCCTTTATGAAATCAATTGTCAACATGCCCTGCCTTCGCCAGAAAAGCAAAAGCAGAAAGTCCTCAATAGAGAAGAAATCTAATTGCAGGATACCTGTCTGTTTATTCAGTCCCAGTGGCCGCTGGAGTTAGTGCTAACTGCATATTTTAACGAGTATAATACGGCGCTGTCAGAATTACCTCGGCAATAATAGGCCTGTTAAATTATAGCTCTATAAGTGTGGGGGTGAGATGTCTCTGCCGCGCACACGTTAATCTACGCCTGTTCGCACAAGTGCTTCTGCCGAGCAGGTAGCGTGTCCCAACAAGAAACACTGGTCCTAAAACCTCTGCTTTATGGTAGGAGTTGTTTTGACACAGCATCATTGAGACGATTTACAAGGCCAGGCTTCGTGTTAAAATAGCTCACCGGTGTCATCATTCGTCACCAACATAAATATTCAGCAGCGGTGTTGGAAACGAGTGAGATGCCCGTGCGTGCCAAATCCCTGGCTGTGTTTCCTTTCAAGTGAGATCTGCTGTGGGATAGGGCTAAAAGCAACCACGGTTTCTCTCTTCCTTGAGTGCGGACGAGCCGTGAGGAACCGAGACTAAGAATAGCCGCCGTCTTGACAGCTTCCCTGTACTCATCCTGCCTGGATTGGTTTTGATTCTGGCATAAGGCCTACGGGCTTCTTTCTTTTCTGTTTCCCCCCCTGCTCCCT